GAAACCAATCGATGTTGCGTTATGCGTTATTCGTTGGAGACTCACTCATTGCATTATTTCTCTCCGCTAATGCATGCACTTTCTGACCCCAGACTATTAAAAATGAGTTCCACTCCAGATTAGTTCGTGACATCGCTCAGGCGCCTTCAAGGAGCGAACCAGAGTCCATGAACAGCTGATACGTGTCTCGAAGCTTGTTCGGGTATTTCCGTAAACAGAATGTTTATTATTATTATTATTATTTCGCTTTTCATATATATTTGCTTTTTTATTATGATGCATTTAAAAATATATTATACGCATATATATCTTCTAAATATATTTTATTTTCAGTGTCTGCATTTAGTTTTTGGCCAGGAACTTTTACCTCACCTTACAGTAGCGGATTCTATTCAGATTAATTTTAATCCCCCCCCCCCAATATTAGCGGCATACCTAAAACTAATTTAAATGACCTAAAATGACCCACAATACGAACTTCTCGAGGCAGAATAAACAAATCAATAATGCGACATCATGAATGGACGTGTCCGCAGCAAATGCCAATAGGTGATTTTGCATCATGAAAGATTTAGGTCGATGTTCAAATGATAGATGTTCGTCGGAAATATTTATTATTTATAATATATACTTTTTTATTTTTATTTACACATCTATCGATTTCAACCTTGCATAGCATAATGCCAAAGCCGCACGGGTCTCTTTTGCATCTGGTCGATCGTCTTCACTGAAGAGTCCAACGTTCACTAGTAAGCGCGGAACGGAAATAGCAAACTCACGTTCGGCTCAAATTTCCCCCAATTTTTCAATTCTCGGAACGTTCGACACTCGAGACGCTCTTTGGATCCGCTTCCGTTCTCACGACTCCGCTGCCCCCCATTCTAAAATGTAAACAATCGACCATTCGGGCCTGAGCGGACGTCAATGATGACGTCACCGCCAGCTGTATGACGCGGAGGTCATCCAGCCAATCAGGACCGACTTGAAAGTTACGTGACCCTCGGTTGAAAATGGATCCTTCGAGCAGATCGGCGCCTCTTGTTTATTTTTCATGCGAGAACATCCCTCTGAAAAGTTTTTTTTTTTTTTTAAGCCACAATTATGAGTTGTTTAAATCGGTACTAAGTAAATGCAGAATTGAAAATGGGAATATTTTTCATTCGGCATCTTTGAGGGGGGCAAAAAAAATCCAGACTTGAGGTGTGAACAGGAGCAGGTGGGAGAAATTGTCGGCCTTTTTTCTCGCTGATTCGAGGTAATTTTTTTTAATTATAAATAACCATGATAATGATAATGATTATATCTGGGAGCCCCTTTTTTTTTCTTTTTTTTACAGCACTTCAGTATTTGTCTCCATTTTGCGTGGCCTCGATCCGTTTAATTGCAGTGGAATTGTTGCCGTGTGATTGAGGCGCAATTTTGACTTTATTTATCGGATTCGCTTTGTAGGCCGTAAGTACTTCGAGGGGAGGGGAGAGGGGTGAGGGGGGGGGGGGGGGGGGGGGGGAGAGGGAAAGGAAATGTTGGGCAGGTGGTTTATTGTGGAGTCGCTGGGAATATGGGAAAGAGAAGAAATGAGAAATGAGTCATTTAGGGTCTCCCTGGCCTTTGTCGGTGGATTAACTCCTGCAGGGGTCGGGAACCTTTTTGGCCATGTGAGCCATGTTAAGATTGAGCCAAGTGCTTGTGAGCCAAATTTGGCTCACGAGTTCGTTCGATCGCTTGCCCCCTCGGGCTCCACTGCCTCGTACTTTTTCAGTACTGGGCAGTTTGAATATTTTCCCAGAAATCTGCTGAAGAGCTTCGAAGTACTTACGGCCTACAAAGCGAATCCGATAAATAAAGTCAAAATTGCGCCTCAATCACACGGCAACAATTCCACTGCAATTAAACGGATCGAGGCCAATCCAGAAAAAGCAGCGGAGCAGATGGCCACAAGTTTCTCTAATTCCGGGTAATTAAGATAATTAAGGCATTACAAATCGCGAGAGCAGCGATTTCGGAGTAAACAGAACTTCTGATTGCGAACGGACTCGAACTTACGGTGAGAAGCTGCTAATTGCCTTGATGAGCTCACAGATTGGAGGAAATTAATTCGCCTGCGGCGAGGAAACGAACTCGTCGAGCCACGAAGAATGAAGATAGGCTTCGTGACGTCATCGCCGGCGATCGATCCGATTGGTCGCTCGATCGGAACCAATCGGATTCGACCGCAGCAGACGACGCGCCCGGAGAAGCGTGAGAGGAGGCAGTCGAGTGGAGGCAGCAGCGTGCGTCTCGTCGCGTTAACGACGGGGTCATAAAAGGGGAGGAATCGGACGCCTGAGGGGCATTCCCCCTCGCTTTGTTTTTTTTTTTTTTTCTTGAGGCCGCCTCCGCATTTGTCGTTTTTGGTTCCCAGGGGATTTTTCCAAGGTTGAAGGCGCTGTGTGTGTGGGGGGTTGCCGGCTTTGGAAAAAGGTAAGGATGAAGGGATTAGGATTATCGGTCGGTGCCCTTAAGCCCTTCTCGACGCTTCTCATTCCTCGACGATAAAAATAAGGCCATAAATGCCTTCACAGTCTTGCTTAAAAATTTTTTCTTTGTTTTTGCTTTTATTTTATATTTTAGACGCACGTATTCTCGGTATCGTTTCAGGGGATTGCGCAATGCGGGAACTTATCGAGGATTTTGATTAAATAAAGAGATAGTGCACTCGTCCCGATAAGGTTGGGTTGCCCTCGCGTTGCGCCATGCGGTTGCCCTCAACGTCGAGACGCAGAAATGCGGCTTCGCCCGAGTGTTTCGTGTCCGGTGACTGTGACAGATGACCGCGTCCGTCGACGAGTCGAATATGAAAATTTTATCGGTGAAAAAGAATTATTTTTCCCCGAAAAACGAAAATTCTGGACGAAGTCGAGCGGAATTCTAAACGCGGACCGCGTCGATGCATTCAGACTGGAAGGCCTTTCCGCCACCTCAGGCCTGTGTTGCTAGGTGAACCGAGGGGGGAAAGGGGGGGGGGGGGGGGGGGGGAAGGTGTGGGAAAGGCTGGTGGCAGGTGAGGGGAGGCAGAAGTGGAGGGAGTCGAGAATCGATGCTAGGGGGGGGGGGGGGGGGGGGGGGGGGGAAAAGATTCCCCCCGAGGGCAAAGTGCTTCCAAGGGAAGGGCAAGAACAGTCTCGGTCGATTCGTGCTGAGCTGCAGTGCTACGGCTGGCGCGGTCGCGGTGTCTATGCTCCGAGTGTTGGCGTTGTGTCGTTCTTAAGGTCGATATTGTTGTTGGCGGGGGTCGCTGAGGGTTGGGAGTTCGTAACGTAAACATGGATTGGAGTCGCGGAATTTATTGCCTCATATATCAGTCGGTTTTTTTTTTTCTCGTGGGGTTTGATGGTGCTTGGCCTTCCAAGTGTCATCGGCTCATTCCGCCTCGGAATAATGAGATTCTTTGTGGCGGAAGCGTACTGGAAGATTCCGAGTATTTATGGAGCTATTAATGGGTTCGCTTATCGCAAAGGGGTTTTTCCGGTATACACAGTAGGGAAAAAAAAAGTTTACATGCGTGAGACGTTTTGTCCGAGGACAGCGGGTCCGGGAAGAAGCGGAAGTGAAGCGCAACCACGTTGTGGGAGGAGACCAGAGGCAGGCGCAGCGATCTCGATGGAGAGAAGGCCTCCGCTGGCCTCCGCTGGGCCTGGTTGGACGCGTGCTGTCCGTCTTCCGCTGGGCGAGTCTTGGCGCCTTCCGAGTTTTGGAGGGTTTTCGGGGGTTTCGTGCGTGGGCGCGGGGTCGTGGTGATTTCGTTTCGATCGCTGGCTGGGGCGATGGCTCGGGTGCGTGGTCGGCTGGGTCACGTGTGAAGGCGTCGGGCGCGAGGAAGGACCTGGTGGAGTAGCATACCGTAGCGAATGATCTTTACATAATGAACTCATTAACGTTAGGGAGTCGCTGACTTGGGTGAAGCCTTGGTGTGTAGGCGGGCCTAGGCCAAAACTGATCAATCCTTAGTCAAGGCTGACTGGCTTTTTATTCAAGCCTACGGGACAGCGGCGACCCGCCCATTCCAGTAGTTCCAGGCCTAGGCCTATAGTGTATTTTAATTGAGTACTCAGCGTAGCGTGAAACCGAAGCATAGGGGGTAGGTCATTCAGTTTGTACTGATGCTAGCATTAGAAACTGACCACATATCGGACGTCAGTCACCACATAACCAGACTGAGTTTAGGGGAAAACAAATCTTGTATGCTAATTGTATGCTTAGGAAATGCAAAGGACAAAGGGATCGGCTACTCCTGGAGGTGTTCTGTGAATAAGCCAATCTTGCTGCAGATTTTTTGTTTAGAAGATGCTATAATGCTTGATTCTTTTGAGATAAGGATTGAGAGAAAGCCAGTGCACAAAATGGAGTTCTTTCAGAAATTGTGCATGGAAATATAGCTTGTTGTTGAATGATTAAAATCATTCTCCAGACTGAGGTATTCAGGGTATAATGTGGGACTACCTTCAAGAGTATGGTTATGTATGGATGTCAATTTCGACTGTTTACCTTGAGGCAAACAATGTATGGTTGGTTTAATGGTGTAAATCCACATCTTGACAGTGGAACTCTTGCAAAGAGATCTGGCAAATATGAGACAAGGGCAGCTGTGGTTGGTTCCTCAGATACGGGGTGGGGAAGGAAATTTGCCGTTCAAGCCATGGTGTACATCCACTTTATTTGGTGCTGCTCTGTTTGGATCAAGTTGCAATAAGTACTATTTCAGTGCAATTTTAAAACAGTTGGGGCCAAGTTTGACTTTATAAGATTCAAGTGAAATATAATACTGAAGTTCCAAATTGCATTGAGAGAATCAACAATTTTTTGTGTTTTCATTGCCAATGTTTCTAAGGAGGCATACTAGTTCATTGATACCTGCAGCTTATGAAAATTTGCTGCCATTAGCCTATAGGCCTAGTTACCATAGGAATAGGCCTAACATTAGGTTTGTAATTAATGTAGATGTGTCCCCATCACAATTTGTGCCTTTTTTTATATTTCAATAGGGGAAATCGTATCAGTTAAGCTCTTCTGGTTCTCATCTGTGGCACATTTATGATGGATGATGACTGGGATGCAGATACCTCCTCAGGAACAGGGAAGAGCACTATGAATGGTTCCATCCCTGCATCACAAAACAACCCGGTGAGTAGCTAATGCAGTTCATTCAGGTTCATCTTGATCAGTGCGACTATGCAATAGTTATGCATGTGCAGAAGTGAAGGTCCCCCATAGGAGTATAGCTATAAAGTCTGAAGCTTAAGCACATAAATTTCTTTGAATTGTGACCAGAACAATTCCATTTCAATCATATTGTATCTGTGTTTGAAGTGGAAATGATTTTCTTGGGTTGGGGGTAGCTGAGAATAGCCTTTTTCATTTCAATATGCTCCTATCCAGCAAAGGTGCTGAGTGAAGGGAGAACAAGAAGTCTTGAGTTTTCTGCCAATATTTTGTATCACATATTGAGGTTAATTCAAGAATATCTAGGGTAGAATTAACAAAGTTTGATTTTGTCAGTAATTGTAAATGTGCCTAAGGGACATGTTTTCAGGCATATTTCTTTCATTCCAATCTTGCAAGATGTGCTTGTCTTCCCAGGGATGGGTGTTTTGAAGTGATCTGTTTCTGGTACATTTGAATTTCTTTTTCATGTTCATGACTGTTTTCATGTTCCATATTGTTTTTGCTATTCAGTTTGAGAACACATCTACATTAATTACAAACCTAATGTTCTATAGTTCCTGTTCAGTTTTGTGGAAGAAGTTGTCATTTTGGCCATTTATGGACATATATGAGAAAATGGTATACCATTTCATCTTGAAGTAATGAGCAGATGATTATGTATGACAAGATGTGTGAATTGAATGAGAACATGTATATGCCAGAGATCTGGAGCATCAGATGAGGTATTTATATGACTTGGGTATGTCTGTGTATGGTGGGGTATACATTGGAATTCCTGATAGGACATGACCAGATGAGGAATGAAACACGTCATTCATCCTCGTAAATCTTGTTATTGTTTCTATTTTGAGTTTTAGCATGCCAAGTAGGTTGAGGCAAAATATGAGAGGGCAAAGGAAGTTTAGGCACATTCCTGTCCAAAAAAAAAAGGTGGCAACATAATGGCAAAGTTATGAAATAGTCAAATGGGGCAGTGCTGTTAACAATGCCTTTTGAATTAGTCAAATTCTATCTCTAAATGAAGTGTGAAGATTATTTAGATCCCACAATTTTTACTGACAAGTTGTCTTTTTCTCTTTGTTCTCAGTCGTATGGAAGCGGATTCGGTGCCCGTGGACGAGGTCGTGGAGGTGAGTTGCTACCTATTTCAGTGGCTCACCTGGCTATTGGCTGAAGATAGCCATTGATATTTCCTCAATACATGGATGAAGTAGCCTCTGGTGGTTATTCGGCAACACAGAGCCAAACAGCTTATTCCTTAAATTGTGACTGCTTTGATCCTTTCTATATGCAAAAAATCCTTTGAATGAACTAGTTTAATTTAAAGATAAATATATGTGTATATGGAGAGATTTTATTCATGCCATGAGTGAACCATGAATTAACTTGCATTGTCAGTGGGGGTCTAAAATCCATAAAGTGGGCTGGAGAAATTTATAAAAATCAATTTCAAGGGTGGAAACTACTGTTCACACCATGAGGGAAACTCAATCCTCAATTTTACAAGGGCTGAGAATCTCCTTTGCTCAAGTTGTAGCATTGTCAATTGCACAGGTCACCAATAGGATCCATGATTTGTGGTGATAATAACAAGTGATTATTCCTTAGGAAAGCCATTTGGAACTCCAAATCAGGTTGGATGGGGTAAAAAGGTTAATGAAGGTGAGTCCCAATACTGGAAACTATTCACAACATGAATGTTGTGCTTGCTGTGACCCCCTTCATCCCTCATACTGCTTTTTGGTTCTGCATTGCATAGTATTGGTAATATCCTGTTGGTATGTTTAAGCTGATTTGCTTGGAGCTTGACAATTCAGATGCATTGAACTATGGTCAATAGGTATGGTGTCTGCTCAACAAGTGCAAAAGTTTGGCCATAGTTAATATCATGTCTCATGAGTTCATTCAGTATCCCTGCCTCACATTTTGTTGGTGGTCTTTATGCTTTGCTTACTTGTGATAATTTTTATTCTGAAATGCCCAAGGATTGTTGTCATACCACTAATCTCAATTTGTGCACATTCTACTATTTGAAACTTGTGATAACCAATTTGAGAAAAGTTAATTTTGGTGCAGGCTAGCTTATAACTGGTGCTGCTTGGACTATTATAAATGCAACTAAGTGAAAGATATTTGTATATTAGGCTCTTTGAATGCAAACACTACCATAGTATAAATGGAACTCAAAATTTAAAGTGGTCCAATCTACAAAGGAACTCACTTTTTATTCACTCATGCTCTCCCATATGTATTATATTTCTGCTTCTGAATACAAGGGACTGGTAATATCATACACTCAAGGAATTATTGATCATGAGGCATGAATTAGCTTTTTTTGTGACCAGGTTCTATAGACATTGAAGTAGATACCTTAGTGACCTTTTCCCTTAGCCTAGCATTTATTCAGACCATTACTGAAACTTGGGAGCAGATGGGGTTTTTTCAAGGTGGTTTTCTAAAATCTTACCAATTGATTATCAATGATGAAATAATTTATATATTAAATTCTTAGACTGACTTCAGGGACTCTAGGTCATTAGTAACAGATAGGTCATTAGTAACAGATCAATGCAGAGTTTTCTTGAACCACAGATGTTTAGCAGGCTGATAAATTCCAAGAAAAAATTTTTTCAGTTGAAAATATTGCACTTATGGTTTTGCCTGAATTAACTCTTCTTACCTCCTATCCTATCTCTGAATGTCAAAAGTGCTGCATGTCATTGTCTCCCTATTTTTATCCCACTCATGCATGCTACTTGTAGTAAATTATCTTAGTATGGGATAGCCTATGCTTATTGGCCAGCAATGAAGTAGGAACTGAAATAAGGAAAATGGAATGTGCTAGTTGCCATTATTAAATGTTTTTGATCATTTCAATTTCTAGCCTCCCAGTTTGCATCCTTGGTTGAACTTGAACCACCTAAAAATTCATTTGCTTGCCATCTTATCCACATCAATAACTTTGCATTGACCCCATATAGAATAGTCAGTGTAGGTTTGCAAGTATTGCTGCTAACACTGAGTTTAATGTTTTACTGATGTAGTAAAATTTGGATCCAGCCTATGGATTTGGTGATTGTACATAGCAGATTTTCAACATTATCCTTAACCCTATGTGGAAGATGGCATAATGTGCTTTGGAATCCTTAACCCTATGTGGAAGATGGCATAATGTGCTTTGGATGTGCTGCTAATTATGTTAACTGCCTTTAGTCAGAAAACCAATTGCTTGGTTTTGTGTTGCAGCCCAAAATGGTACAATGGATGATTCGTGGGACGAGTTGGATAAAGGTGTGTGCATTGTCTGTCCTTACTTGCTTGTTTGGGCTTGCATGGTGTTACTGTTGTAGTTTGGATGGTGCTATGGAATATTAGTCATATCAACTAGAATTGCTACTATTAGCTGACCCTATAGTTTGTCATTTCACCCCCAAGACAACAGTAACTAGAAAAATTACTGGCTAGTGTTGACAAGCTGAGAAGATCTGGGAATATCCAATCATACATGCTGTTTGTCATGAGAAGCTCATGGCTTTGTTGATTAGTTTTTCCCATGATTTGGAGTTGATAAACTGTAAGGGGACATTGTTAAATTCTAGATTCCTGTGGAAGTAGAAAAATTATACTAACATCTAAGTCGTGGTAGTGTGTTTGACACTTTCTGGCAGACTCTGACTCGAGGACTTGAGATCTTGAAGGATCTAGACTTTGGTTTAGCTTTGTATACATTTTTACCAAAATTAAATTAAATTATTTACAGAAATCAGTGGAAGTAATTCTGTGTTTATATTCTGTATAGGCTGAGCATTCATTATGGCAGCCCATCATACTTTCTTGAAGCAGATGATAATATCTATTTAGAATATGATTCTTTGACTGGTAGACTCCACAAGTTTGCATAGAAGGGCTGAAGGGTTGTATACTTGAGCCATAGAACATGGGTTTAATAGAGTATTTTTGATCATTTCTGTAATGTCAGACTCATGTCAGTTTCCAGGCTTTCAGTAGTGTGTACAGCTATTGGAAGAGAATGTTTCCTTTTTTTTTTTAACTGGGAATGTCTGGTCTATTGGGTCCAACTTTACCATGCTGGCGTGGCCTGTTTTATGTAAGCCTCTCACTCTGTTGTTGTCACCAACTAGTCAGAACTTAAGAAAGTGGAGACCATCAGTGGCAGACCTAGATCTTGGTGTAAAGTCTAGGCATCTCACCCATGCCCCACGCCTGCCCCTTTCCTCAGGAGCTGGTCACCACTGTCTGGCTGAGGGGTTGGAGGGGAAGTTGCCCTATACCCCTCAGAGAAAAGCAAGGCTGTTGACAATGACCCCTTTGAGGATTTTAAATGTAGCAAAATTGGACTGAATGGACTAGATTTTTTTGGGAAGCTTTTTGTGACTACATTAGGAGAGAGAAATGCATTGCTGCTGTGGAACCCCTTGTTGAGCCTATTTGTTGATGTAAAGGAACCTTTATCTTCACCACTCTCAGAGGAACAAAAGCCTGTGAGACCTTCTGATTTAGAGTTTTAGTTGTGTTTTAATTCAATGGAAAGAAAAGTAATATGGAGTATGTAAAATGGGTTCTAGTCAGTCTTTAACACATTCGCTGCAGATGATGCTTATTTCTATGGAAAGGATAAAGACTAGGTGTGTCATCGGCAGCGAACGTGTTAACCATGTGGCCCAGCCAGTGACAATTACTGATCTTGGGTGAGATTTTACTAAGGTCGAAATCTGAATGAGTTCTGCCCAATTCAGGAAATTTCTTTTGGAGAACCTTCCATCAAAGTGTTCAAGAAGAAATTGCCTCATCTTTTGAAAGTGGCCTTCCTTGTCTGGTTTTTGTTAAAAATGAAGATCACATGCACCTGTTTCTCTTTCTCTTTCATACTGTTAATCTTATTTCCTAGGGCATGCTCTTTAAATTCAGTTTGACTTAGATGGACTAGACACTGCCTTGCTCTCAATTGTAAGTTTGGACTTTGCAAATACCCCTGGCTGTGACTCACTGATTTTCAAGTTCACATGTCACACTGCCTGATTATTCATGTATGATTAATATGTGAAATCCAGCATGGACAGGTTATTATCAATCACTGTTGGAAGTTGAAAATAGCATGTCTTGTTTAGGATTCTTAGAAATATTGATACATTGTGTTCATTTGTAGTCTAATAGAACCTCCTAATTTTATGATATGTATGAATTAAAACATTCATCCCACCAAGAAAGAGGCAGGGTCCAATTGGCAGTGGCAACACTTAGCTACAAAATTGGCTGAAGCTGCAGATAAGACTGATTGGTCTCTATGTCTTTGTGTAGAAAGTAACTGAAATGGTTAAGGCAGGACTAGAGATCCTCTTGCATCCAGAGAGAGAATGCCAATTGTGAGACACCCCTCTATCTTGAGCAGAATGAAGTAGGATGTATGTTATGTGCTGACTTAGTGGAATATCATGCCTTAGTTGGATATGAGAGTGGAACAAAAAAAGTCATGAAAAGCTTGGTGTTAGCTGTTAAAGCTTGGTGCTAGGTTTTTAAATCAGAAGTAGGAACTCCTACAGTGAATAGTCAGAGTTGACAAGTGTTGCTTGTACTCACAGGTGGGCTAAACTCCTTCACATCGGGAGGAGGGGGATCAACTGGTGGTGCCAACTACTTCTCCGGTAACTTTAGTGGAGGAAGTAAGTCTTGACTTGCATGAAATTTTGATGGCAAAAAATTCTGACTCAGTTGCAGGGGAATGTGTTCTTGAGCAATGTGACTATGATTATCTGGGTTGATATAGGTTTTGGACAGGATGATTCTGGATGGAAAGACGAGAACCAGAGGAGCTTTGGCAACGGTGATAGACAGGTGAGAAAACCTAATATATATTTATTTGTCATGCAGTCTTGACTGGACTGACACTAAACTGTTATAACCCCTGCATTCCAGGGTGGTCGTGGTGGTGGTGGAGGTGGGAGAGGTGCGTTTGATCATATCATTTGTTAACTTAGTGATATATTCTCTTGATAGAATGCCCTGAAATGTCTGATGTTAGCATGTCTTTAGTGTGAGCTCATGCCAAATGTTTTAGGTTGCTTTAAATGTAGGGAGGAAGGACATGTGTCCTGAGAATGTTCTAATTATGGTGGTGGAGGATCTGAAAGGAGATGTACTTATTGTGTGTCCTGCATTTTTCAGAGGAGATATACTAATGATGGATTCATGGCAATCCTGAAAATATAATTCATGACCATGCTATTTGTTGCAGGTTGTTTTAAATGCGGTGAAGATGGGCACATGTCCCGAGATTGTCCCAAGAGTGATAGTTCAGTGAGTTTCTCTCATTCCATGCATGGTTTTTTAAGTAATGCTTGAAGTAATATGCACTCTATTTGTTGGCATTAACAATAGCAATTTATGATAAACTTATTAGCAAATGGTTGGTGTGGATATAATAGTTTGCCATTGAGCTAATTATTTACCTTCCTTTTCTTGTTTCAGAGTCGAGGTGGCGGTGGTGGTGGTGGTCGTGGTAAGTATTTTCTGTGCCTTTTATGTGAGCCCCTACTGTTGATATTTTACAAATGCTCCTAATGATTGTCTGCTTGTGCATTTAATTTCAGGGTGCTTTAAATGTGGTGAGGAAGGTCACATGTCCCGAGAGTGCCCCAAGAGTGACAGTTCAGTAAGTATTTTCATGCTTCATGTTTTTTAAACAGTGAAAGGAAAGGATGTCCTGGTTGATTGTTGAGCATTTTCCCTTGCCACTTGGCTAATGATAATTTTTTTTTTTTTCATTTCAGAACCGAGGCGGTGGTGGTGGACGTGGTTGGTGCCAACTCATGTTCTTTTTCATTATATTGGAGACTTTTGTGGAAGGTATCTGAAATTGTCTTTAATGTTCTTCTAGGTTGCTTTAAATGTGGTGAAGAAGGGCACATGTCCAGAGAATGCCCAAATCCTGGTTCTGTGAGTCGTTTGCACCCTTTTCCTATCAGGTGATTCTCACTATTCAGTGATTTGGGGCTTGAACATTTTAAAATTTTCTTGTAGGGTGGACGAGGGGGAGGAGGTGGTAGCAGGGGTTTGTATTCATTATTGGTTTTTGGCTGTCTTTGCTCTGGCTGAAGTTTAACTCTTTTCTTTGTCTCCTCTCAGCCTGTTATAAGTGTAATCAGGAAGGCCACATGTCCCGTGACTGCCCTAATGGTGATAGTGGAGGTGGGGGGAATCGTCGTGGCTTTGGTGGAGGCAGCTCTTACGAAAATGGAGAAAGTGGAGGTGGTGGAAGTCTCTCATGGGACAATTTCAATAGCTTCAATTCAGGTGGTGATGATAGTAGAAGCATTTCCCATTTGCATTGAGGCATTTCTCACTGACCAGGACTACATATTGAAGCTAATTATATGGGGGGTATTCCAGGAAACCAAAGTTCATCTGGTGGTGGTGGTGCTAAAAAAGGATGCTTCAAGTGTGGGGAAGAAGGTCATTTCAGCCGGGAGTGTCCGAACACTGATGGTGGTAATAGTGGGGCAAAGAAGAGTGGGTGTTTCAAATGTGGTGAGGATGGACACATGTCCCGAGACTGCCCTAACCCTAATGCTGGTGGAGATGGTGGGCGAAAGAGTGGTTGTTTCAAGTGTGGTGAGGATGGCCACATGGCCAAAGATTGTACAAAACCTTCCACTGGCCCTGATGGGAAACCTCGAGAGGTCTACATCCCACCTGAATTGCCTGAAGAGAATCTCTATGAGACGATTCCCTCTGGTATCAATTTTGAGAAGTATGACCGCATTCCTGTCAAGGTGAAAATTGCTAAATGAAACTTATTCTTTGCCTATTTGTGGGGTTTCTTTCCTGAAAAGTTTATTGGTTCCTTCCTGTTCTAGGTCACAGGGAATGATCCACCGTTTCATATTGAAACATTTGAATCTTCATTTCTTCGAGAGATCCTTTTGGATAACGTGAGAAAGGCCAATTATAAGAAGCCCACTCCAGTGCAGAAGTATGCCATCCCAATTGTGATGTCAGGCCGGGATCTCATGGCCTGTGCTCAGACCGGATCTGGAAAAACTGTTCATACTCTTCTGTTCTCTTTTTCAATTTCTTTGCTTGATAATGGACCTACTTTGAGTTTTTCTGTCTTTTTCTAGGCTGCTTTCATCTTGCCAATCCTACATAAGATGCTGGCTGATGGGATTGATGGAGCAGCTTACAACATCCCCCAAGAACCATATGCTGTGATCATGTCACCAACTAGGGAACTGGCCATCCAGATCTACAAGGAATGCTGCAAGTTCTCCCATGGCTCCATAATTCGACCCCAGATCTCCTATGGTGGCACCAGCTCCTCCTATCAGTCCAAGAAAATCATTGTGAGTTGTGCAAGTAGCAAGTAGCAATCCCAGGAACATAACAGGTTTCAGTCACTGGAATTGTTTTACAGAATGGATGTCACATATTGGTGGCTACTCCAGGACGACTCTTGGACTTTGTTGATAAGGGAACTGTTAGTTTCAAGAAGGTGAAGTTCCTGGTCTTAGATGAAGCTGATAGGATGTTGGACATGGGCTTCATGCCAGAAGTCAAGCGAATGGTCCATCATCCATCCATGCCTGATAAGGGGGAAAGGCAGACGCTGATGTTTTCGGCCACATTCCCAGAAGAGATCCAACACTTAGCCCGAGAATTTCTTAATGATTACCTTTTCTTGGCTGTTGGGATGGTAGGATCAGCCAATGAAGATGTTAGACAAGACTTTTTCCAAGTTGAAAAGCACAATAAGAGGGAGAAACTCATGGAGATATTGAATGAATGTGGTCAGTATTTCTTTTACATTCATTTCTAGTCTATGTAATCAGATTTGATGGAAACTTTTTTCATGCTAAGTTGAGGTTTATTTCCAGGGAAGACAGAGAAAACCCTTGTATTTGTGAAAGAGAAGCGAATGGCCGATTTCATTGCTACTTACACAAGCACCCAGGGGCTGCCAACAACGTCCATCCATGGAGATCGTCTTCAGCGGGAACGTGAGGAGGCCTTGGCTGATTTCAAGGCAGGGCGCATGCCAATCCTGGTGGCTACTGCTGTTGCTGCACGAGGGTTGGGTAAGATCTTTTCTATATTTATAAATGGTTTGGATTGCTGATCCACAAGCATTTTTGTGGCCTTGGAAGCCACTCATCCTTGATGGCATATGCAGGAGTTATTTTAACCCTTTCAGTCCTGAATAATATTTCAGACATTGAAGAAATGTCATACTTTTTTTTACTTCAATGAGGCTTATGAAATAAGTGCTTTTAAAATGGTTTCTTTAAGTAAAATAAATATTTAGGTCATTTAAAAATTAATAAATAGAATTGATAATTAGTACAGCTTGTTACTCGTATTTTACATTGTATTGTTTCCCAGTATTCCTGTACTACTTTCCATTATCTAGCTTACAAAAACTGGGAAGAAACTGGCTGGGAAGTAAATGTATTAGCTGAAATAAATGCAAAAGATTTTTGAGTGCCAGAGGAAACACAGCAGTTTCATATCACTGGACTGCCGTCAACTTAACATGAGGTGAACTACTATAAACTGGGACTCAGAATCCTGCCTTTGCCTCAAGGTTGTGCATTCCTGTGTAACCCTATAATGTATGGGAAGGAAATGCAGGACTCCCAAGTCCCACCCATACTGAAAGGGTTAAGTTTCTTTAGGGTAGATTTCCTTTCATCATATCCTCAGTCCTCAAGTGTAGACTCTGCTCATGAGAGGGTTAATCAAACCATAGCCAACATGTAAGATTGTTTTGTTAATTGTTGGTATTACTGATACTATGTGCATGCTTATTTCGATGGATGTAATCTTCTTTCAACCAGTTAACTCTAATTGCTTGAATGTCAGTTGACACATTTTAGGCATAATTCTTCCCCATATATTTTCATTTTGAGAGGTACTGGTAAGCATTACATTTTGAAATCTCTTCTGGTTAGCTCCATTTCCAGGTAGGGAGAAATTTTTAAAGGTGTATCACCTTATGAAGCTGTCAGTGCCATCTGTGCTGGAGAAAGCACTGCATGCAAAAGCATCCCGAAAGGCTTCTTTATATATGACCATGTATCATGCAACTTGGAACCATCTTCACTCGCCAATAAAGAAATTGGCCACTGCTGATCTTTGCTTCTAAAACATTGTAACTTTTGTTATTATTTGGCATATTTTTGGGAGACTCAAAAACTTCCCAGCAACACAAATGGTGGATGAGTTGAAGTTCAACTGGTGTACCAATACATTAGCAGACCTACCATTCCACACAATATTAGACTAATCATCATAGATACTTTTTTATGACCAGATGCTTCTAATAAAGCATGCTGAGGCATGTGCATTGAGTGCTGCTGCTCTTGGAGCTTCTTTTCCAAATTTCCAGATTTTTTTTTCACAGGCTGAAACACTTTAGAAAAACTCAGTTTGGTCATCATTATTATGGGCTAAGGAGAGGAAGAAATTCATCAGAACAACAATTGATAGGCAAACTTGGGGGATGGGGAATGTCTATGGTGGGCTGCTGGCAGTTTCTTAGGTTCCACTGCTCAAACTAACTTTGAGTTACTCCTGCTGAGGTGGTATTTCTTGAATACTTGTAGGTCTTCAAGGTTGTTCAAGATATTATTCAATTTCACTCTCGAGTAGTTATTTTAAAGTAAATGTAAGGAATCAAACAAAACTCATTTTAGAAAGGAATTTACCTCATGCACCCTCCATAATTTTCCCCGCTTACTAGTGCAAGGCAATGATTCAGAAATGCATGGAAGTACTGACAGCTGGTTGTTGGGAGAAAGTATTTTGAAAGTATGTGCAGTAATGAAAATATGCTGCAAAGACCTTGTGAGTATCATCCCTTATTGGGAGGATGTGTAATTTGGCTGGTTGACATGATTGCTCTGTGCAGCAGCTTGTAAATGGTCTCCTCATCTGAAGTTCTATGTGTAGAGCACCACAGACTAGTTCTACAACCTGAATTGCATCTTTATATGATTTCCATCCAGAGCTGGTGGCCATACATATGTTGTATAACGATGATGAATTCTCAGAAATAAAAGCCAGAAAGGTTGCATTCTGTGATAGAAAATGAAACTCTTTGCTTGCTTTCTACAGATATCAAGGATGTCGCACACGTCATAAACTATGACTTGCCTGAGGGCATAGATGAATATGTCCATCGCATTGGTCGTACTGGGAGAGTGGGAAACCTGGGCAGAGCCACTAGCTTTTTCGACATGGAGTGTGATATTCCTTTGGCACGACCCTTGGTGGATAATTTGAAACAGGCAAGTCTCTGGCTGCAACTCCCCTCTACCTCCGTTACAGTTCTAGCCTGTTTTCATGCGTGCATGTGACTGCATTTTAGGCTGGTCAGAATGTGCCAGATTGGTTGGAGAGGTGTGCCCAATCATCCACAAGCTTCAGCAGTGGAGGTCCAAGCAGCCGGTACGGTGGCAGAGACATCCGTCGCTTTGGAGGAGGTGGTGGTGGAGGAAATGTAAGCCTGCCTGTTATCCAGTTTTCAGTAATTCTCATCCTCAATATCTGATGCTGAATGCAATTAGTCTTTAAGCTTCAAAATGTTGCATTAGATGCATGCTTGAACTGCTTTGGCCAGTTTCAAGGTTATGTTCTTGCTTGCACTCATGTCTGTGACATGGTGCCTGTGACCACTTAGATCCTGGAAAAGCAACTGCAGGCTCTCCTTTTGCCACCTCCAATCTGGCATTAAGGAATGTGGGCTCACTCTTTGATAATGATATTTCTTACCAAATCTCTGCTTAACCATAGGGAAGAATGATAGATTGCATGACCTGAACTGGTAGGATAGGAGATTTATTATACCATGCTTCTTTTAACTCATCAAACAGCAGTAATTGAGTTAGTTGATTGATTTGATCTCATTCATCCATGTAGCGAGGAAACCGAGATGGGGACGACTTCGGTGGCAGTGGAAATGCTGGAGGTGGAAGTGGAAACTCATACAATCCGCCTCAACAGGAGGAGGAGGAATGGGATTAGTCTGGATTGCAATCCTCTTTTTGTTCTTGTAAAACAAGACTTCTCCCCTACTTTCGACTTGAAAGAATTCTCATCGTTATTGTTTGGTTAGACCTGATTTGGGTGAATACAGAAAAAGAAAAAAAAGCAAAGAAATTTGGTCTTCCAGAGAGAGTAGTCGCTTCATGAACCAGGCAGTCATTCTCAGTTGCATCTCGGTGTTGACTGTGATCGTTGAGCCTGTTTGGTCGAACTGGAACTGATTTTGTCGCGGTACTAAAAGTCTCTGTGACTGACTGCCTGTGCCTCTCCCGAGAAAAGGTTTTTGCACGGTCTGTGCGGGGCCAGGAGAAGTGCCATGGAAGAGGCTGCTCGGTGATCAGAAATTCAAATTATTCAGTTCGTGTATCTCCTTTGTCTGCACTTGTTTTGCCAGCTAGTCCAGATTTCTTGTTTCTTTTGATATCCATTCCAGAAGGACTGCTGTTCTCATGACCAAAATAAACTACCTTTACAACAGGGGACTTGTGTTTTTCGTGCCAAATGGTGAAACACTGGACGGTAAATTTGTGGAGTTGTGCCGGATTCAACATGGCGCAAAATAAAAACGTTCTCAGCCGATCCAAGCGGGAAGGAGTCTTCGAAATCAATGAAACTGTTCATTTCTTCGTCTCCAAGCGTAGCATCTAGCAGTAGGTGCAGATGTCACAAGGCCAATGTCCATTGTGGAATCACAGATTCGTGGTCCTGCTACGTCAAAACAAGATTCGACGTTGCGGGGACTGCACGGACTTATCTCTGCCGCCCAAGAGCACTAGGTCACAGAGAAATCTTGTGTTGTAATTTCTGAAGGCCGACCACATTAAGGTATGTGCGGTGCTTTAGTAAGATGGTTTTAGATGCAACTTGGAGCATCGATGTACCATAAAGCGTGGGGCCCGGAATTTTTAAAATTTATTTTCGTTCCTTTTTCATATGCCTAAGCAACTTTCCCCAGTTAACTGGATTAAAGGGACCCGAAGCGTCCCTGCAAGCCAAATCGTACGACTGCCTCTTCCGGCACAGATTGACCCAAAGATATATTAAGAAGACTGGACACCGCGCGAAAGCACGGTAACTGCAATGGAGGTCTATGCCCTGGTGGTTGCCCCTCGAACTAACGTCAACGTTTCTTGGAGCAGTGCTCTAGCATCTCTACAACAAATTCGCGCCCGAAGTCTGACGCCGTTTCTATTGCGCGTGCCTGATTGACGTGGCTGGTGGAAGACCATGGAGAGGAGTTGGGAAAACAATATTCGGAGAATCTACCCGGGAGAGGGGGGGGGGGTGCGATTCTTGAATTCAGACAATTGCGAGGCGGTGCATGCTGCGTAGGTTACCGAGGTAGCAAGGTATTAGTTTGTTTTTTTTTTTTGTTAATTTACGAACTGCATTTCCATGAGCTGGAGATCGCTGAATCACGGTCGCAATCTCATATACAGGGTGGGCCAAAAAAAGCCGCCCCAAGTTTGAAGCTTAATAATTTGGGCCAATATCAGTTTTTAAAACAGCATAATGAAGCTTGTTCAATTTTCTTCCGAGTGATATATAATTTTGGGGGGTTTGCTTCAGAGAAATGGCCGTTATTACAGTTTAAAAAAAGCGACGAAAAATTTTCCTGAGTTCTTTCCAATGCTGCTGCTGTCGCCTGTTTCTCCCTTGCGTGATACGGATTGGTTGATGAGAGATCATGAGGCTGTGGAGGAGGACACTTTGAACCATTTTTGGGTCATTTAAAAGGGTCTGTGTGCGTGTGAGTGATAAATTCGAGGTTGAGGAAAAGGAACTTGGAGCAAAAGCCCATTTTCAGGAAATTTTTTCGTCACTTTTTTTTTTTTTTAAACTGTAATAACGGCCATTTCTCTGAAGCAAACCCCCCCAAAATTATATATCATTCGAAAGAAAGTTGAACAAGCTTCATTTTGCTTCTTTTTCTTTTTAAATTGATATGAGCCCAAGTTATTAAACTTCAAATTTGGGGCGGTTTTTTTTTGGCCCACCCTGTATATTGCCGAGAACATTTTGGCTGCAAATCCGAAGCAAAGCCGCGATATAATTATCCACAGCCTGTTTTTTTGTCCCTTCAGAATTGTAGTAATCCCATTCTAACAGGCTTGTCAATCCGAGACGCGAAAATGTTGACATTCTCGATAGGATTCCTTGAGGTCACTCAGCATTTTACTTCATCCGCCTGTTATATTCTTTTGAAAGTTGGAGAAGAAAAAGAAGCGCGGTTCTAGAGGCGAACTTCTCAAGAAACCAAAGAAATCTGCGATCCGAAGCGACTCGAATCCCCTATACTCTCGATGGCAAACGCTCAAAGTCCGTTTCCAAACTCAAAGACCATCGTTGAAGAATTCTCAGTGCCACATGCATACGAGAATCCTGGTTCGACCGCCTCATCCCAGACGAAGCAGCATCGATGGATTTTCACCTTCGGAGCAGACAGACGACAAAAAAAGAAGTGGGGGGAACCGTCGTCTACGTGAATATAGACTGGGACTCAAAACCGGTGCTTAACTCGCCCATCTCGAACGATCGCCTGGTGGCAGTGGAGTGCAAACGAAAGTGTATCATTGCATCCATCTACATACATCCATCTACATACATCCATCTACATACATCCATCTACATTTCTCGACCAACTTTGGACTAACGACACATCTCTAGTTGCAAAAAAAATTGGCAACATTCTTCGATCACTCCGCTTTTATGGCTTATTCACAAGTGCTCAGCCGATACGAACGCAAACAAAATGCCAGAGTAAGGAAAGTAAGAGACTGCAATTCGAATTCGCTTGCACAAATTGGGATTCTTGAACCCAAAGATTGTGAATCTGTTGTTGTTGACTGCATCAAGTTTTGTTTTGACCATTCCTGCCCAATAATCAAGGCGAAAATCGTGTGAATAATGACATCAATCGAGAAAGAGATCTAAGGAATATTGGGATAATGTAAAGAGACTCGCTAGGTTGTCCCGCACAAAAAAATGACACCTGCTGACTTCAAGGTCGATGAACTCACAAAATTCTCCATTCATCGAAGAGAGCTCCACTTCTCTCCCAGCTCGACGTCACAGGGCTTATGAAGAAGCTGAAAATCTATCCTGTGGGCCGAATGGAATTCCATCATGGCTGCTACGAAACCGTGCAAGTCGACTTGCGAGCCCCCTGACGCAGATATATAACACCTGGCTTCGATCCGAATCCATTCCACGTTTCACGAAAAGGGTCAAAATCGCCCCAATCCCTAAGAAGAGTCCTATTGGCTTTTGAATATCATATCCTCTCTTATCTGAAAGCATCAGAAACGCTATGCTCTGACCAACGGCAATTCGCTTGCAAGCAAACTTAGATCGACGAACGATGGGCTTGCGTGTCTTCTCCGCTCAGATAATGCGTTGTCTCGTGCTACAGTTCGGCTTCTAATACTGTGGACCGTCAACATTCTCCTTGATAAATTAAATGATGAGAGGAAAATTCCATGAATTACGCCTCGTCCACAGCCACCTAACAGAGAACAGCCAATCTGTTTCACATGGTAAAGACATCTCCTCTCCTTTGCCATGTCGGACAGGCGTCTTACAAGGTGGAGTTCTATCTCCCTAAAAATCATCAAATACGCAGATGACGCTGCTATTGTTGCATCTAGAAAGAACGATGGAGATCTTCGGGCGTAGAGGTCCAAAGGATTGTCGATTGGTCGGCACAACATGATCTAATTCTCGATTCCGATAAGTGTCAGGAGCTTGGTTTTCTCCGGTTTGAGAAAGGTAGAAATGTTTCAACTCCTCAACGCGAAACTGACAGCGAATGGCTTCGAGAGCAACTCCGGTTCGCGAAGATATTTGCCGATATCTTGGTGTCATCGTCGACGATAAGCTGAGCTTTCGATCTCAAGTAGAAATTGCATGTAAGAAGGCATTCTCAAGATCATTCTTCGCAGTACGGCTAAGGAAGACTGTGGTCTTTTATCGGGAAGAACTGTTTCCAAGTACGAACAGAAAGTACTGATGCAACTTACATGAGACGCGTTTCTTGCCAAGCTGAGAAGTGATGTGTCTTACCCGCTGTCATCATACTGTTGTAGATGTTTTCGCATGGGTGGAGTCCAAACTCGAAAACAGTTTATATACCCAAAAGTGAGAACAACTAAATTCAAAAACAGGTTCCTTATGAGGGGGATCAGAAGCCAGCCTCCTGTAGAATTGTGACACCAGGATATTTTGTTTTTGTGTTTGTGCTGACGGGCCGAATCAAGGCTAATAAAGGGTCATTTCATTTCATATTGGGTTGTTGAGAAAGTCTTTGGAGTTTCTTTAGAATTTTGGCCATGCCCTTCGGCATTTTCGAAAAGTTTCGAATTAAGCATGTACATTAAAGGGCTCATTAATGCACCCTCTCATAGTTTTCACTCCATTTCTGGACAGAGAAAATGGAAGAGAACCGCGTGCCCATCCGTCACTGCCTGCTATTCGACCTGGGCGTCTCCGCTATTCGGGCGCACCGTCATCTGTGCCAGACGGAAGGCCGTGACGCCCCCTCCCTCGACACCTGCCACTCGACACCTGCCACCTGCGACCGGCGCAGTCTGGCCGGCACCCTCCGCTGCCATCGACAATCGTCTCCACTCTATCGGCAAGGTTCTCTAGATGGGAAGTTGGGTGCCTCACACTTTGACCCAGAACGACCTCGACGCCCAGTCTGAGGCCTGCACCCATCTCCTCTCGCGGAGGCGCAGCTTCGACTGGCTTCACCACGTTCTGACTGGGGATGAGAAGTGGTGTCTCTACTTCACTCATACCCGGAAGCGCCAGTGACTCGACGCTGCCGAAGAGGCACAGCCAGAGCCGAAACCTGACCTGCACCCACGGAAGGTGATGTCGAGCGTGTGGTGGAACTTCCTCGGCATCGTGCACTGGGAACTGCTGCCGCTCGACATCACCATCACCGCCGACTACCACTGCGCCCAGCTGCAGCGTTTGAAGCTGAAACTCGAAGCGACGCGGCCGCAGCACGACGAAATCTTCTTCCTTCACGACAACGCGCGACCCCCATATTGTGAAGTCGACCTGCCTCAAGCTCCTTGAGCTCGGGTGGGAAGTCCTGCCCCACCCACCGTACTCCCCCGACTTGGCCCCCTCAGACTATCACCTCTTCCGGTCCCTCCAGAACCACCTGTAAGGGAAGCACTTTGATGACCAGAAGGCGCTCGAAACTGACCTTAGGGACTTCGAGGCCAAGCCCCCGGCGTTCTACAGGGAGGGCATCCACTCCCAACCCGAAAGGTGGAGGAAGGTTGTGGGCAATGATGGTGCTTACATTATGGGTTGATCATGATGAATAAAGAGAGAATGAACAAAAACAAAAAAAAAACTCCAAATACTTTCTTAACCCAATACATATATAGAAATCCATGACCATAGGCCTAGTGCAAAGCCCTATGTGAACACATGCGCGTGCCTTTCCGGATACTTGGGAAACCGATGCAACAGAATATCTCACTCAATTTGGCTAAATTTCTCCTGGCATGGTAAGTAGGCGCTGTA